GAGAAACTTAACAGGAACCCATGGGGGAGGGGAAGGAAAAAAAAAAGAGGTTAGAGTGGGAGAGAGCGGAAGCATAAGAGACTGTTGAGAACTGAGAACAAACTAAGGGTTGATGGGGGGTGGGAGGGAGGAGAGGGTGGGTGATGGGTATTGAGGAGGGCACCTTTTGGGATGAGCACTGGGTGTTGTATGGAAACCAATTTGACAATAAATTTCATATATAAATAAAAAAAAAAAAGAGAGAGAACAGCCTTGTCCTATCAATCAAGGGAACAAAAGTTCAAGGAAAATCAACTGGATTAGTGTTTGGATTGGGGCAAGGGCATGTCTGAACTGTTTCCGCCTCCATCTGTGAACTATTCCTTTGTTCTGTTCCCAGGTGATAAGACGATGTGGTCGACTCTAAAAACTCTGTACCCCGGCTGTTCCAGGCCGCACTCTGGTCAAGTGTGTTGGTCCCAATCGGTCGGCCTTGCCTCTCATTGCAATAAACTTTGTTGTGACTGTCACTGGTGCCCGTAGCATTCTGTTTCAGGAGTCGTGTGGATGCAACACTTTAAATACAAGTCTTATATTTATAGATTCAATGTCATATGGCAGAATACTATAATTAAAATGAGCAGTTTTCAATTTAATTGCTCATATGTGTAAATACTATTTGTTTTGAAATTCAACCCACATGTAGCAAATTGCTTTTTAATGGTCTACCCTGCAAACAGGTGTAGTATGCAAAGTTACAGAGAGTTTTAATAGCTTTGCCTGTGGCATCTTTTTGCAAAGGATGAATTGCAGCTACTGCCTAATTTAAAAAAACAAAAACAAAAAGATAGTGTAACATATAAAGTATTACAGGTACCCAGATTTTCTACCAGCCAAAGGAATGAAAAATATGAGTAATAATGTTGGGAAAAATAAGTAAAGTTATGCACCATAAGATGGCCTACTGGGGGGGGGAGGAACTAACATAAACATAGTTTCTAGTTTAGAGACTCCTCTTCCAGGTTCCTCTTCCTGCCCCGCTTGCCTCAGGCACCAAATTACTACTAATGAGGAATGCAGAGGTAACAGAGTATAAATTGTCCCCTCTGTTGATGCTCTGGGCTCAGACCTCTGGAGAATGATCTCCTCTGATCCCACAGGTGTAAAATAAACCTCCTGCCTTCCAAGATCTCCGAGTGCCGCTTGGTTTTTCCGCCAGCGTTCCAGCCTGGTGCCGCAACAATAAGAATAATTTATCATTACTTCCATTGAAGCAACAACCAATGCTATGGCTAAAAATAAAATGACTTTGAGTCAAATGTCAAAATCATGTCATACACAGGGAGTAATTCTTGGGGAAGTTCAGTGCCCAGATTATTTGGCTACCCCTAGACACATTCTACCAGTGTTGTTGTTGTTGTTGTTGCTTTTTTTTTTTTTTAATTCTTTCTGAATTCTACTTCTGTCAAGAACAATACTTGATTATCAGTTGATTACTCTGGCCGGTAAAGATAGGCAGTGACACATTTGTCCCAAAAGTCTGAGTGCAGGTTTAAACTTTGGTAACTTCAAATGTATAATCAGTATAACCTTAAAATTGAAAGTTTATATTTAATTTTCTTGAACATTTGTTTATTTTTGTAAATTTTTAATCAAATTCTAATTATCTTTACTTTCCATTTTGGTCCCTCAGATTGAAGGTGGTGGTATTGTGTAAAAACTATGCTTTTTTTTTTTTAAACACAAATTTCAAAATCTAGAATTGTCTGTTCTTATCTTTTGCAACCTACAGATCTAGGTTTGGATCTTAATTCAGATACTATTTGTAGGAATTTGGAGAAAATATCAGTTAGCTCCAATGAAATAATTTGAACCAACAAAATTGACTTTACAGGTTCCTGTAAAAATTAATAAAAATATATATGCAATTTCTACAATGGGACCTGAAATTTGGTAGATACTACTTAACTTTAGGCATTATAATTAATTTTGTGGATTCTTCATTTGGTTTTTGACTTCATGTAAAACATACTAGATGGTTAAGACCAACTAAGGAAAAAACAGTAACATGTAAGTGGAACCCACAACTGAGAGGCCTGAGAAAATTGAAACTTAAAAGCTTAAGTTACGGGAAACTGAAACCTAACCAAGCTTTGTAATGCCCGAAGTTCCGAAACCTCCCACAAAAGTCCACCAGAGTAGTGAGTCAAAGCCAAGCGGCAAGGGTCGTTTATTGCAGGTTTGAACCTGGTCCCCTGCGCACTCGTCGCCGGTGGCGCAAGAGGCCTCGATTAGGGTTGGTACAGCGTTTTTATAGACAGAGACAAATAGCACAGGGGAGGTTTCAAATTATGAGGGGTCTGATTGGTTGATTTTAAAAGTAAGGACATTTGTTGTTCTCTGATTGGGCGTCCTTTGTCTGTCCTCTGGCGGGAAGGCTTTGTCCGTTACTTGTGGCGGGAGGAAAAAAAGGGGGAAGGGGGAAGGGGGTAGGGGAGGAATGTGTTAAGCAAGCAGGTTTACAGAAGCGAGAAATGCCGGTTAGTTTATGTACAATTACTCATTCCATTACCTATCAGACTACATTTAGGAAGGTTTACAACCCATTCTACTACACAGTGGGTTACATTCAGGAAAGGCCTCACAATGCTCGTAGCAAACAGCAAGCAAAACAGACTTCTCAGCAATTGTATTTCTTATCAAAGATCCATAATAAGCAGAAAAGAGAACCTAGCTTTAAACTAAGGCAGGGCTGTCATTTGGATTGTTCCTTTCATTCCCCCCTTTTTCTTGTGCCTAAAGAGCCAATCTTGGGTCTTACTCTGGTCAACCGTCCAGGCGGTGTTGGCTTCCAGCACGAAGTCTTCTCGAACCGCAAAGGGATCAGCTGGTGGGGTGTGGATGTAATGGATCCAGGTAGCAATCCCGTCGACTTTGAGAGCAGTGGGTGTGGTTAGGATCACAATGTAGGGTCCTTTCCACCGTGGTTGGAGGGTCTCTTGCTTGTGTCTCCGCGCGTATACCCAATCCCCGGGTCGGTAGTGATGCGGCTCGGGAGGGGGCCCGTTCTCATAAATGGCTCTCAATCTGGGCCAAACTTCCTGGTGGGTGCGCTGGAGTTCCCTCAGGGAAATAAGAAGTTTATGATCATCAAATTCAGTTAACACATTAGACTGTAGGTTGGGAATTATAGGGGGGGCACTCCATACATAATTTCAAAGGGGGTTAATCCTAGTTTGTAAGGGGAGTTCCGCACCCTGAACAGAGCGTAGGAGAGTAAGACTATCCAGTTAGCGCCAGTCTCCATGGTCAATTTGGTTAGGGTCTCTTTTAGGGTTCTATTCATTCTTTCTACCTGCCCTGAGCTTTGGGGTCTATATGCACAATGTAGTTTCCAATCGGCCCCAATAAACTGCGCTATCCCTTGTATTACCTTTGAAACGAATGCTGGTCCGTTATCTGATCCTATTAGGGTAGGGAATCCATACCTGGGCATGATGTCTTCCAACATTTTCTTTGATACTACCTGTGCCGTCTCATGCTTGGTGGGGAAGGCCTCTGTCCATCCTTAAAAGGTGTCTATAAACAGTTTGACCCTGATGTACAAAGCTGCTGCCGTCAGTGAACCAGGTAACTTCAGCATCTGGTAGCGGGTGATCCTGTAAATCTTCCCGAACTCCATGAACCTGTGCCAATATGTCAGCGCAGTCATGGAGGGGGGTATCCAAGTCCGGGTCTGCCTTCGCGTTGTGGGTCGGGGGATGCGGAGGACGGTTTCCTTCCGTGCATTCGTGAGCCATCGTTGGCCTTCTCTTAACAGATATCCCAAGTAGGTTACCTCGGATCTGCAAATTTGGGCTTTCTTTGCTGAAGCCCGGTACCCCAGGGCACCAAGTGTCCGGAGGAGGTTTTGGGTGCCTTGCAAGCAAGCTTCAGCAGTCTCAGCAGCGATTAAAAGTTCGTCAACGTACTGCAAGAGAGTCACTTCGGGGTTTCGATTCCGGTACTCACCCAGATCCTCGTGAAGTGCCTCATCGAACAAGGTGGGTGAGTTTTTAAATCCTTGGGGGAGCCGGGTCCAGGTGAGTTGCCCATTTATGCCTCTCTCAGGGTCGGACCACTCAAAGGCGAAGAGCTCTCGGCTTTTGGGGGCCAAAGGCAGGCTGAAAAAGGCATCTTTTAAATCAAGGACAGTATACCATTGTCTTTCTGGGCTAAGGGCACTTAGGAGGGTATAGGGGTTGGGTACTTTTGGGTGTATGTCCATGACTAACTTCTCTCAGATCTTGTACCGGACGGTAGTCTGCACTGTTAGGTTTTCGTACAGGCAGCAGGGGGGTGTTCCAAGCTGAATGGCAGGGACGCAAGATGCCTAAGTCTAGGAGGCGACGGATATGTGGCATGATGCCATTTCTGGCCTCCATTGACATCGGGTATTGTCGGACCCGAACTGGATCTGCCCCCGGTTTCAGTTCTATGAATAGAGCTGGGCGATGTTTAGCCAACCCCATACCCCCGGTTTCAGCCCATGCTTCTGGAAACTGCTGGAGCCAGGGCTCTATGTTTTGACTTTGTGAGGGTGGCCCCTGATGGAGTCGATATTCATCTTCTAATCTTAGAGTAAGTATGGTAATGGGTTGGTTGTGAGGGCCAGTCACTTGGGGGCCCCCTGGCATAAAATGAATCTGGGCCCCCATTTTAGTGAGTAAGTCTCTTCCTAATAAGGGGCATGGGCTGTCGGGGATGACTAGGAAAGAATGGGTGACCTTTCCATTTCCTAGGTCCACAGTCCTCTGGGTGGTCCAGGGATATTTTTTTTATCCCGGTAGCCCCTTGGACCCAGGAAGATTTTTCAGAAGTTTTTCCATGGGGTCTGATCAAGACCGAATGTTGTGCCCCTGTGTCGACTAGGAATTGAACAGGGTTCCCCTCCACTTGTAGCATTACCCTAGGTTTGGGGAGGGGATCCGAACCCCGTCTCCCCTATTCTGCATCTTGAGTGAAGAGGGCGGGTGTGGTTAGGCTGCCACGGTTTTTGATCATGACGTGGCTTTTTCTTTTTAGGGCATTCTCGGGCCCAATGGCCTTTTTCTTTGCAATAGGCACATTGGTCCTTATCTAGGGACTTTTATTTATCCAGGGGCTTTTGGACAACAGCGGCCAGAACTTTGGTCATTTCCTCGGTGGCTTTAAGTTGCCTGTCCTTTGGAGTCTCTCTATTATTATAGACACGCTGGGCAATGCGGAGTAAGTCCTGAATCTGTTTTCCCTCCAGGTCCTCTAGTTTCTGGAGTTTCTTTTTAATATCCATGGCTGCCTGATTTACAAAGGCCATTACAACAGCAGCTTGATTTTCGGGGGCCTCGGGGTTCATGGGGGTATACTGTCTGAAGGTTTCCATTAATCTTTCTAAATAAGCATCAGGGCTCTCTGTCTTACCTCGTATTACTGAATACACTTTTGCCAAATTAGTGGGCTTGCGTGCAGCAGCCCGGAGACCCGCCATTAGAGTCTGGCGATAAATGCGCAGCCGTCCCCTACCTTCTGCCGTGTTGTAGTCCCAGCCATCCTGTGGGGGTCGGGTCAAGGGAAAAGCTGCATTAATGAGATCAAGGTTAGCAGTGGGTTGGCCGTCATCTCCAGGAACCAGCTTTCTTGCTTCCAATTGAATTCTTTCTCGCTCCTCGGTGGTGAACAGGATTCGGAGGAGCTGCTGACAATCATCCCAGGTGGGTTGATGGGTAAACATAACGCTGTCTAAGAGACTTATTAAATCTTTAGGGTTGTCAGAGAATCGGGCATTACAGCTTAACCAGCTTGTTCCGCTTCTGTACAATTGCTTGGCGTGCCCATGTATTCCTGATCAATCATTATTGCCTGGCACATCCGTATATTCTTGATCAACCATTGTTACTTGGCACATCCGTGTACTCCTGATCAATCATTGTTGCTTGGCACATCCGTGTATTCCTGATCAATCATTGTGATACCCGTACCCCCAGTTGTGGTCTGACCTAAAGGCAGGAACCAATCGAATACTGTTAAGTGTCCAACTTTAAACACCAAACAGTCACAGCTCTGTAACTGTGGAAAATTCCTGATTTCCCCATGACTTGTTTGTACCTGTCTATAAAAGGGGTGTAAAAACCTCTCTCAGGGCCTCTTGGCGTCACCGGCAACAGGGGCGCAGAGGTCCAGGTTCGAACCTGCAATAAATGACCCTTGCTGCTTAGCTTTGACTCTGGACTCTGGTGGTTTGTTTTTGGGGGTCTCTTAGACTCTGGGCGTTTCACAACAAAACGTATTATTCAATTAATATGACCTTTCTAATTATAAACCACATTTTTTTTTTTTTAACCACAGACTGATGAGGGAGTTATGAGGCAGGCTAAGGGGGAAAGCACAAGCTAGGCTAGCATTCCACCCCCCCCCCCACCCAGGTGGGATATGTGTGATATTCATTAGACACTCCCAGCCACACCAAAACAGGAAAGGACAAATAAACAAATGGTTACACCAATAAGAGTCTCCACCAGTTTATCGGAAAAAGGCAATCCCATCAATAGCCTAAAATCCAGGAACTCCCTTATTGTCTTAATGCTTGCTAGAGGGAAAAACAACCTTATCTCCACAATAGCTACACCTCCAGTAATCTGTGTCTTTAGCATATGAAAATCCCTTTAGGAACTCCCTCTCCCCTCCCTACTCCATAAAATGGTCACTCCCACACTTACAGTGCAGCTCTTCCTGCCCACAGGTCCTGTCCCCATATTTTAATAAAATCACCTTCTTGCACCAAAGACATCTTCAAGAAGTTTTTCTTGGCCATCTGCTCCAGACCCCACAAACACCACTATCACCCTAAATTTCATCACAGACCATCTTTTGATACGCAAAATAATACTGAGGCAATCATTTTAACTTCCACTGTATTCCTCATCACGACTCAATATAGTGCAGCAACGTCTTGAGGATACTGGTTTGGGGATCAGGCAAAATTGATTTGCATTCTTTGATATAACACTTAATAACTATATGTCCATGAGCAAATTTCTTAATCCACAATCACCAAATCTCAATTTCCTCAGCTATAATATATGGGCAATCAATCCAACCCAAACCCATTTATGCAATCCAGACCTTGTGATTTAGAATAAACTGACTCAGTCAGCCTATTCTTCATTCTGCCCAAGTCCCTTCCCAGGTTTTCCACACATACCTAGGAGGTGAAGTGACTCTTGCCTTCTGTTCCAGGAAAATGAGTGTTTCTTGCAACTAGAACATTTGCACTCAGAAAGCGTGGACATTTTTTGCTGTGTTGGCTGTTTATTTCCAGTGTCCCAACACTGCAAATCAATAATAGATTTTTTATCAAATGATTCAGTTAATAGACTTACTCTCCTTATATGTCTAGGTTCCTTAAATTCTCTGCTGTTCAAAATAAAAATAATCATTACTGAGGTTCTCAACGATTTAACACTATGAGTGGCAAAAGATATAAAATTACATTGTCTTCTGTCATACCACCAGAATGTCAGAATCACAGAGACTTATTTCCTTACTGTTACAGTTTGTCCCTCCACATCTTCTAAGGCAAGAACATGTATAGACCTTTTAAAAATAGAAAACATATTGAGAAGGAAAGCCAGTGAGAGCAGATAAAAAAAGGGCCAGCTAGATGTCCAAGGCCGGATACTCTCCTTGTCTGCTTTAGGCTTCAGTAATCTTGCTTGCCCCTTACATCAGCCAGCAGCCAGGAACCAGAAGCCTGACTATACTAGTCTAGCCTAACCCGGAAGCACATGTATTATAGAGGATCAGTAAAACCCAAGCCAGGTGCTCAGCCTTTGGAAATGACTCCACTGAGGCAGCACCGGTGCAAAATAAACAGTCTTTACTGATTCCCCGAGTGCATGTCACTTGTCTCTTCCTGGGCACCAAGTATTTGCTGTAAACAATATTGTTTGCCTCTTAGATTTGTTATTTTATTTTATTTATTTTATTTTATTTTATTTTATTTTATTTTTAATTTTTATTTATTTTTGAGACAGAGAGAGACAGAGCATGAACAGGGTAGGGGAAGAGAGAGAGACACACACAGAATCCAAAGCAGGTTCCAAACTCCGAGCTGTCAGCACAGAGCCCAATGCGGGGCTCAAACCCACAAACTGTGAGATCATGACCTGAGCCAAAGTCAGACACTTAACCAACTAAACCACCCAGGCGCCCTTAGATGTGTTACTTTAAAAGGGGATGTATGTAGAAGAGTCTTTATAAAATCCTCAACACAGTGTCCATATACATAATAAGTTCTCAATAAAAAGAGTTCCCATAAAACAGATGGAGTCCCATGCAGTCATCAGTCTGTTGTCATTCAGAGATAAAAGAATCTATGTGATACTGGAGTTCATAATCAACAACCATTTAAAGATGAGGGAATTGAGAATTGGAGAGGTTGATTAACTTTCTCATGGACACAGCTTATAAGGTGTAGGTAGAGCCAAGACTGAAAACCAAGCTTCATTATTCTGGCAATGACTAATGGCTATCAAAGTTAGTAATGCTCACTCTCAATCTGTGGTTTATCATACCTGAGACTGGAAACCACTCAGAGAATGGCAGTGAACCATGACCAAGAGAAGCAAGGATTGCTCATCTATTTCCTAGAGTATCTTTTGCTCTTGGGGGACAGTCTAATATAGTATTACTCTTTATAAAATGTTTAAAATATTAACATGGAAGGCTTATTATTTCCTACCCTACACATGTAGAAAGTTTTTCAACTTTTTGACCAGCCTGTTTTCTCCTTATTTATTTATTTTTTACTTCAAAGTCAAAGCTAAATGGAATTATTGATGTGAAGAAACACATTTGCACAGAGAAGACTGGATCTAGGTTAAATAATAGATATCTCATCATCTCCTCACATTCTTTTAAAACAGATTTCTTTTGGGCTGGATAATTATTTGTTGTGTGGCTGCTGTTCAGTGCATTTGGGATATTTAGTAATAACCCTGGCATCCACATACAAATGACAGTAACATCTCTTCATTTGTGACAACAATGTCTCCTAAAATGTTGGCAAATGTCCCCTTAGATACAAAATGGTGAACAAATACTTTAGATTATGAATCAAGACATAATCTAGAGTGACTTTCAAAATTTGGTGTGTATCACAATAATCAGAAAAATTTGTTCAAACACCTCTAGCTGGACCCCCATATTGAGAGATTCTGATTGAGTAGGACTGCTGTGGGTCCACACAGTCACTTTTATACTAAATCCCCAGGTGATTTGAGCACATACAAAAGACAGAGAAACATCATCATAGAGAATAGGGAACATGAGCTCTGGTATTAGAGGAACACAAAAATAGACTCTCAGTGGCAAAGGCATCACAGGAAATCTGGCTTGGTTGCTCCACATAATCAAGGACACCCGAGCCAGAAGATATTTGTGTCACCAAAGGAGTCTAGGGACTACTGACATGCACTAATGAGGGCAAACAGAAAAAGCAGCTACCTCATCTATCCATTTCAGGCTGGACCCAGGATTGGACATAGAACCTTTGTCTAGAAGTGATGATTACAATGGATTAGCCAAGGTTTCACATTGGGCTTGATTCTCCTCCAGTTTGCATAAAGTCCAAATGACATAGTGGTCAGTATTGAAATTTACTGTATTGGATTCCAGCTTCTACCATTTCACAAGCTAAATGACCATACACAAGTTATTTGATCTCTTTCTAAACCTCAGTTTTCTCATTTATTTACAAAATGAGGATAATTATAGTTATCTGTGATAGACAGAATAATGCCCCCCTCCCCACACACATATATTGAAGTCTGAATCTTCAGAACTCATGAATATGTCACCTTACCTGTTAAGGAAGAACTTTGCAAATGTGATTAAGGATCTTGAGATGGGGAGATTATACTGGATTATTTGGGTAGGACCAATGCAATCGCAAGCATTTTGGTAAGAGGGAGATTTGACTATAGAAGAGGAGAAGGCAATGTGAAAAGGTAAGCAGATATTAAGGTGATGTGACCAGAAGCTAAGGAATGCCAGTGCCCTCTAGAATTTGGAAGAGGCAAGGAAGGGATTCTTTCCTGGAGCCTCCTGAAGGTGTAGGCCTTGCTGACACCTTGAATGTAACCTCATGAGACTCACTTCAGGTGTTTGATCTCCAAAACTGTAAGAGGACAAATTTGTGTTATTTTAGGCCATTAAGATTATGGTAATTTATTACAGTAGCAACAGGGAACTAATGCATTATCTCTCTCACAGGGTTGCTATGAGGATTGAGTTAATACATGTCAAGCATTTAGAAGTATGCCTGTCCCATAGGAAGTATCAATGTGGTTCTATTTATTTTATTTTATTTTATTTTATTTTATTTTATTTTAGAGAGAGAGAGAGAGAGAGAGAATCTTAAGCAGGCTCCATGCTCAGTGTGGAGCCCAACGCCAGGCTCAATCCCATGACCCTGGGACTATGACCTGAGCCAAAACCAAGAGTCAGACTTAACCAACTGAGCCATGCAGGTACTCTTCAATGTGTTTGATTTTATTGTCCATACGGCATTGTATGTCTCTAAATCATAATTTTGTTCTAAATAATCTACCATTACTAACTTATTCTATAATGTTTTCTCAGTAAACATATCAATGGTTTGCATTATGGAACAAGTAAAGCCTACATGACATTGTCCTACATGTTCCAATAGCCCTAGAGCTTCTAAGACTGAGAAAACTTTGAAGCAAATTCTATTAATCCCATTTTCATCTGAATGGT